TGTAAAATATATTTAAGTTCATTTAGGAACAAATTTGTAATTTATTTTTTATATTTGGAATTATAGATTAAGTTGTTAATTGTTAGACCCTCCCATTAATTTGAGTAATTAAGAACACACCAGGGGCTGGTGGATGGTTTGGTTAATGTCTGGTGAGGTTTTGAAAAATAATTTTTTTTACCACTGTTTTTTTAGAGCTTCAAACATTAACTTTTGTTTCTGCTAAGTTTTAAGACATTTTTAGTAATTTTTTATTTATTTATTTTTTATTTTTTTTGCAATAAATAAGTGAAATTGGAAGTGCACACAAAGCCAAAAACCACCTGTTCCCACCCACGGCCTTTATTGGAAATTTTGGCACTCTTTTGGAACAGAAGGCTTAACTTTCTGTTAAAAAAAAAGCTGCAACTGTGACTCTTTCCACGCACCTGGCAGCAATACTGGAAATTGAACCAAAGAAGGTCTCTGATTTCGCAAGGTGGATGTCAGGCTTTCATGGGGGTGCTGTTTGATTTTTTCCACCTTGGTAAACTACAATATAATTAATTTAATCAACTATTAACACAGAGGCAGGAGTACTTTCTATAAAAAAAAAACAAAAAAAAAACACAAATATTATACAAGGTTATTAAATTTAATGGAATGCATAAAAAAACATTTTAAACACCACATCTTGACTATGTTTTTCCATCCACCTTCTTCACAGCCTTCCAATTTTATGAGTAAATACATGAAATAATTAACCCACTTTACCGATTGTTACCATTATATTTTTGGCTTTTACGTATATTGTTAAATTAACACAAAGGAAAAAACTGCATTTTGAGATATTCAAGTGAATTGAAACACATGTATTGTGTGGATGTGGTGGTCTCTCCCTTGCATGATCCCCCTCAGATTTACTGAAACAAAAGCTGATTGTTGCAGGGCACAGAGGACATCATGGAATAGCGCTTCTACCACTGACCGCACATCCTCTCACTGTGCCACAGCCAGGAAACCCGGGTCAGTACATGTAGGTGTGCATTGCTGGTAATAAAACATTAGTTTTTTGATGGGCGTGAAATATTCCATAAGCTGTAGCAAAGCAGCCTGATTCCATGTGAGGGTATAGTTTTATTTCCAGCCCCTCCTGCTGTATTTCCCCCCCATGCGGGACTGTGTGTTGCTAATAATCAAAAAGCTATCCCCCCATGACACGAGAGTTTGCTGCTTTATTTTTCTTCTTGTTAGAAAAATATTTTTCTTCCAAAAGGTTTTTTCCAACCAAGTTTTCAACACCCACAACTCAAACAAACACAGTGGTCTCATTCTATTCGATTTCCTCTTGTTTTGAATAGTTTTTTTTGTTTTCTTGGTAACTTGAGTCCCTTTGGTTGATACTTCATCTTCAAAGTCATTATGATTGTCCATCACATTGCTTCCGATTCATCAATTTTTACTACACAAACATAGAATGTTTTTTTGTTGTTTTTTTACATTTTTTGTCAACTTTAGATGCTTCAGAGCTAGGAGTTAATTTATCATACCATAGAACATTAAAGAAAAAACTGATTTAAAAATAATTATTTCATAATGAAAGGGAAAAAACCTATCCACAACCTTGCCCTTTTAAAAAAGTTCTTACAGAATTGTCTCACTTTAACACTAATATATATTTTTCAAACAAAAATAATGTTATTTATTTACAAACGGTTTTCATTCACAACTTATAGGAAACAGTTTGTAAAAAGGCCACTGTTAAAGCTATACTGCTTATAATCAGCTGTATAGTTTCAAATAGGCCAGAAAATCCTGTCAGGTTGGGTAGAAGTTGATTAAGAACCTAAATGTAGAGATTATGGGGCTGAGATGAGTGAGATGCAGATTTAATGAATGAAAAAGGCAACAGAGGCAAAACCCCAAGGAACATTATAGGAAAACAAAAACCAGGAGACATAGGGGAAAACATGCATGCAGCAATGAGGATCTATAGAGGAGGCGGATATATAGGGAACACAACAAAGAATGGGCTAATCAGCTGATATGGAGCAGGTGTGGATAGAGGTAAATAGAAGGGAGCTAGGGGAAGGGAGGGGGCTTCAGAGAGTAACACAAAAATTCAACAATGCCAGAAAACAACTACAAAGACACATGATTACAGTGAACTAAACTCTTAAAAAGTAACCTAAACAGAGGGCAAAACTTTGACAAATCCTTCAGGTCATTCCACAACCATCTTCATTGCATTACGTTTTCTAAATTTATTAGGCCATAATCATTTGCTCAATCAGAGGTAGAATTTATATTGTGTTTTTTGATGTTCTGCTGCGTGACCAAAATCCACTTTGCTAAAAAAAAAAATATGTTTTTATTGCAGATAAAGTGGGTTTTTGGGGTTCTACCTTAACCTTACTGTACTGTGTGATACATTATGCTGTTAGCTTGTTTGGTTCTGCTGTTTGTCTTAAAATCATCTCTGGTGAGTTTCACTTTAAGGTCAAAAACTGCTGGGTAGTATTTTCTGTGATAGAGCAGAACCTTTCTTTCTATCAATTATAATTCATCAAGGTCCTAAAGCAGAACAGTAGACATAGGCTACATTCACACTGCAGGCCTTGATGCTCAATTCCCATTTTTTGGTGAAATACGATTTTTTTCTTTGCATTGTTGTTCCTATTTCCAAATATATGGGACTTGTATGTGATCTCCTACGTGAACTGCAGTCATATAACGCAAGTGTCCCGAATACGCAGTAGAGGACGCAGTGACGTCACATGCCAGCTTGCTCTGCGTTTACGGATGTAAACATGGATGGTAGTGCCGGAGCGCATCATCAAGACCCAGAATAGGGACCTTTGTCGGGTATTGATGGCGTTCAAGTCGGATGAATGCGACCTGGTCGTTCACAAATAGGTCGCATTTGAAAAGATCAGATTCGTATCGGATTCGGGACCACATAGCCAAGTGGCCTGGGTTGCATCGGAAAAAATCAGTTCTGTGTTGTTCAAACTGCCATGAAAAAATCTGATCCGTGTCGCAAATGGGCAAAAAAAATCGAATTTGGGTCACTTCAGGCTGCTGTGTGAACGTAGCCTTAGACCATCATGTTATCATCCACACCCACTTTTTGAAACATGCTTTGTGTGTTTTCTAGGGTTATCTTTATCTCCCATAAAAGTTACTTCAGTGATCTACTCCATTAAGGTCTATCCAAATGCAAAACCAGAAATAATGTGAAATGGGTTAAATACTTCAGCACAGCTCTGTACGTCACAGACAGTCAGGTCTCCAGCAGAGCTGATTCTGTAGAAGTGAAGCAGAAAAAAAGTGTAACCTCACTCTGTGACAAGTTTGGTGAGTCTGTAGGAGGCACAGGGCCCACAAAAGTGATTAGTTGGGTTCAGCTCAGCCCTGAGAGGCAGTCAGAGGTTAAACTGGCAGACACTCACAGCTCCCCACATAATGACTCCCAACTGTGTTGCTCTCAGAGTTTACATTAGAGCTCCACTTTTCTTCACTAAAGTGTCTTACTGGAAACTTCTGTCATCTTGACTTCTCTTCGTAAACTCTTCTTCTCTCTCTTTCTCCCTGCTTATCTGTCTGCTGTTTTTTTTTTTTTTTTGGCCTCTGCTTGATCTTTGCATTGCTTCAACTCTCATTCTCAACCCTCTTGCTGCATCTAATTTTCCAATCCTCCCACACACTCAACTCTCTCTCATTTCTTGCTTATTGCCTTGCCTCCTCTCACTCCTACTGTTTTTTGTTTTCCTCCATCAACCAGATCCCAGAATAATAATACACTGATTAAAAAAGAAATCTTTTTTTTTCTTTCTTTGTCTTGCAAAACTCACCCTTAAAGCCCAACCCTAGCATTGCTCCTGTAGGCAGGAAAGAGAGGAGGTGTAGGGCTCATGGGAGAGTAATTGATTTGAATTATTCTATTGTCTTCCTTTATTTCAGGGCAATCTTCCCAGATCCCTACAACCCAAAAGTATTTGATTCTCAAACTAAATTATATGTTTCTGAATGTCTTTGCTGGCATACAGAATTGCAGTTGTGGTGCCCATTTATATATTTCATCTTTTTTGGACTGCACAGCAGAAGTAAAGAAATGTCAGAAATGATTGACTGAACATTATCTTCAGCTGCTATCTATGTTCAAATTGCTACTGTACCGTCATCTCTTTGTATATTCTCTCTAAGCCTGCCTACATATGTATTTTTAGCCGTTCAAGCTGTTCTCCTGTAGAAGCTTCACATATGCTCTAAAAAACGTAAGAAATATATAAGGCCGGCCAACATCAGTTGTGCTGTCCTATTCATGTGAACTATTGCAGGTACCTGAGTGAGTTACACCCCAGTGTTAATACGAGTCTCCGTCGTCCCCCTCATAGCACATTTTATCCCTGGCTGTGTAGGTGGTAAATCAGCATGACCATGCCGAAGAGCTGGAGGCTTAATTAATCCTGCTCTATAAATGTCATCACCCAAGCTGGCAAAACTGTTGGCAATATGCTGAAAATGTTCCACGCAAGTAAAATAACCAACAAAAAAAGAAACTCAATGTTTTAGGAAAATCTGAGTAATCTCAAGCAAACAAAAAGTGGAAAAAATGTACATCTAACACTAAGCAGTCTATATAATTAGACTAAGCAAATTGTGGATTCTAAAATAAAAATATATTTTTTTTTTATAGAAATGCTTGTGCAATTGAACAAAAACAGGATAGAATCATCATAAAACAGCAGTTTTTGGGCTCCAAGTTGCTTTTCACTGCGATCCAATGTGGTTATACTAATTGAGTTTTGCTTTAAATAGGTGTTAAATTATTAGTATAGCTATTAAAGCAGGTTTCACAGACGCGGGAGGTGTTGAAATGTGTTGAAGTGATGATGTGCTAAATGTATGCGCAATGAGCAAACAGTAAATATTTTATTTTAACAAAATTTCAAATAAAATATTTTAAAATAAATTGACTGGAATTAGAAGCTGATTTAATCCCAAACATGTCTTTCCAGGAGCCGTCGTCGGAGGTGGAATCTCAGGATCAGGATCAGTCCCCTCCCCAGGTCGACCCATCTGAACTTGCCCCACGTCTCTGCCACCTGACTCGGTCGCCAGGGGGCTATGGCTTCAACCTTCACAGTGATCGGTCACGGCCTGGTCAGTACATCCGCTCCCTGGACCCGGGGTCACCTGCCGAACGTGCTGGACTGAGACCACAAGACAGGCTAGTCGAGGTAGGAGGGAGACGTTTGAACAGAACTGCTGATTTAATTAGATCCTTTAACTACAGTTCAAAATAATATGAATTATGTAAAGGGCATTCCAGTCTATACTTGATAACTTTTATTAATACATGAAAGAAAAAATTTGACTTAAAATACCTATGAGACGAATTACAGTGGCTTGCATAGGTACTGATAAACTTTTTACCTGTGAGATTGGTAAGGCTTTGGACGGGCTTTGGTAGGTAGGGAAAGTGGAGATTTGTTTTCTTTTTTCAGGGGCAGAAATCCGTACAATGATTTGTATGTAATGTATAGTTTAATCAATAGGCAGAGGTGGTAAGAAAACATATACGAACAAAATACGATTTATATGATTCATTTTCCAAGTAATAGAAAAACATTTTACTCTCCTATTCTTCCACATCAATTAGAAAAATGCCCCTCTGCCTTTGTGCCGCCGTTGTGTTTTCTTTTGCAGGTATGAGATAAACTTCAGTGGATTGGACTTTCTTTGAGTTCACCAGCTGAATTACTAGTATAGTATGAATATTTAGAGGCAAAAAAACACAATTTATTTGCAGTAGCCAGCATAAGTCCTCTATGGATAGTCTCAGCCAGCTTTGCACATCTAAAGTTGGAAAATGTTGCCTTATCTTTTATGCAAGTCAGTTAGGTTAGATGGATACGATCAGTGAACATGGATTTTAAAGTCTTGATGGATATTATTCAATGGGTTTGGGGCTGAACATGTTTTTTTTTTTCACCTTAAGTTGTATCTTTAGGGTTGCTGATAGTGAATATGCTCTCAAGTCTTTTGCATCTTTCAAGAAATTATTGTTTTTTCACTCTGATATGCTCTTCTGTCCTTGGTGAAGAGAAAAGTCATTGCAGCATGATAATGTTATCATCATAAATTACCTTTTACATTGTACATGTACACAATAGAGTTTCACATATTTGCCCTGTACTCAAAAATGGCTTAGAGCAATCTGCAAACAGGACTTATTGAGGCTTTCTACCTGCTTTGGCTTTCTTCTTCTGTCCCTCCCTTTAGACGCAGCTTTGCAGAGGGCACCACTAGTAGATGTTCTTTAGATAAATTCTCCCACCCAAGTTGCAGATCTTTATAGGTCCACCAGGCACCATAGACCTACTGCTTATTTTATTGATCTCTTCTTCCAAACTTTGGAGTTATGATCTCTTGATAGGATTTCTGCTGTGCTATACTTGTTCCCCTCTCAGAAAATGGATTAAACTATGCTATACAGTACATTCCAAGCTTTGGATAAATGTTTTATTACCTGACCCTACTTTAAACTGCTCTCAAACTTTGTTTATCAATACCACCATATTTACATACAGATTAAATTATTCACAGATGGATTCAGTTTACTAACTTAACTTGACCTCTGAACATGGTTGTTTGTAAGAGATTGTTTTGAGAGAAAAAGAGACTTGAAATGTATGTCTGCTTTTATTTTCAGATTTGTATTTGCAACCAACTTTCTTTCCACTTGACAATTATGCACTCTTTTGTTCGGTCCCTCATATGAAATCCCAATAAAATACAATGAAGTTTGTGGGGCCGGGTGGGCTCTCCTTATCCTTTGCAAGAAGTACATGCGCTTCTGTACCCAATTGATCAGTGAGGTGGTGTTAACATTCCATTTGAGGGTGTCTGTGATGGTCCCCAGGAATTTGGTGCTGTTGACCACCTCTACAGCTGAGCTGTTAAGCAGTGGAGCCTGGTTTGCCGGTTCTTCCTGAAGTCAACAATGATCCGCTTCGTCTTCTCCACGTTCAGGATCAGGCTGTTATCTCTGCACCAGCCCACCAGCTGCTCCACCTCCTCTCTGTAGTCCTGGTCGTTGTCGTCTCTGATGAGGCCCACCACCATGGTGTCGTCAGCAAACTTCACGATGTGATTGGTGGTGAACCTGGGGACACAGTCATGTGTCATCAGGGTGAACAGCAGGGGACTCAGCCCTGAGGGAGCCTGTGCTTAGGGTGATGACACCAGAGGTGTTCTGTCCAACTCAGACTGACTGAGGTCTGTCTGTGAGGAAGTCTGTGAGGAAGTGTGTTGTAGTCTGTGATCATCCAAATGCCTTTCCACATCCTCCTGGTGTTGCTGGAGTTGTGGAAAAGATCCTGGATCTTCTGGCTGCGGTTCTTCTTCGCTGATAGGATGGCATGGTTTAAGTTGGCACGCGTTGTTCTCAGTGCCTCTTTATCACCAGACTTGAGAGTTGAGTTCCATGTTTGTAGCGATTTCCGAACCTCCCCATTCATCCAGGGTTGTAGGTTGGCCCGGGGGGTGATGTTCTTTTTGATGCTGACGTCCTCAATGCATTTGTTTATGTAGGCTGACACAGACATGGCATATTCATCAATATTTAATAAGTTGTCATAGGTTGCTGCAGCCTTTTCATTTGTCTTCTTTATTTCTTTAACATGTCAACTTTCTTCTGTGACAACTAAATAGTATTACCACTGATAGCCATTAAAACATGGAGTACTGCCTGCTTCCACACAACCTTCTCTTTCATTAGTCATGGCGTTCTGCCTGTGTTGCATTCACTGAAGCTGGGATATGACAAAAATTCTTATTATTTAATATTGTAGGACGGCTCAGTTCATTTCTTGTTTCCCAAGTGAAAAAAGATCTGGGGCTTAATTTGGGGCTAGAGTTGGGAATGCCCTGGCTGGGCGACGCTGTGAACCCTTCTGCAAAGCACCTTATACACTCCTTTTGTGCTCAACCTTCAAATTAAAGGAAAGATTTAGTTTTGGTTTATCAATTTAAGCTCTGTGAGAGAGGGTCTGTTTGTGCTGAGACGTGTCTTTACTGAAACATGGAAAAGAGATCCACCATAACAGAGACAATTAGCGGAGAGAAGGATGTCAAACACAAAGCACTCTGTGAGAATTGTGAACACATGCCTTTGACTGACAGGAAACCATAGAGAGGAATGACAATAAGATAATTAATTGTTAATTATACTGCATTTAGCTGGTTTGTGTTGGAAAACAGGATTGATAGACTGTGAGAAAATCCAACTGCTCTTTCATAACTTGAGAGGTTCTTCTTTGGTGCTGGCACTCTTGGTTTTCTCCTATATCTCCGGTAAAAACCTTTTTTACAGGAAAAAGAAACATAAGTTATGTTCTATCTCAATATAAGAAATTTTGTTTTTTTTTTTATGAAATATTTTTTTATCAAGTATTTGCATGACTGTTTCTAAATTAAACAATGATCATGATGGGATATGCACTGTAGGGTAACTACTGTCACACGGCCAGCCATAAGGTAATGAAATGTTCAAATCTGCAAAAGAATCAAAAATATAATTACAAAAACCTACTCAAAAGAAACTTGATCAGTGTTGCATAAGTGTAAACACATATTGGAGTAAACACAGCCTTCATTCCCACGGCCTTTGGCCTCCCTGGAAGTGCACTTGAGTCCAGGACAGGTCACAGATCACCACACACAGGAAACAGAAATGTCCTTAAACTATAATGTAATAAAAAATCATTTATATTCTTAGCCCATGTAAAAAAAAATAAGAAGACCGCTTTGCTTATTTTATTGTTTATTTCTGACTGTTTTTCTTCCGTAAAGGCAGAGTTTTGTCCATTCTGGCGGACATTACCCAAAATGAATGCACAAAAGATGCTTAACAATGTTGAAAGAAAAAAAGCTGTCCAGCAAAATTGTGTTAAAGTCTTGGAGATAAACCATCAATCACATTAAAATACGAGGAACCAAACAAAGATTGTGCTTTGTGGCTTCACACTACATAAGTCAGCATGAAAAAAATCTGACCGAGTATCCAGCAGCAAGTCACCAATGGCAACAAACGCCACATCTATGGCATGTTTTCAGTTATAATACAGCATGGAAAGATGCTAAATAAAACATTAATTAACCCACCTTATAAAGAGTAGATCTCACAGATCATCTACAGCTTTTAGACTAGTGGCACGCTGTTTTTGAACTTTGTAGCCTTTTAGAAAAACTGGATATAGACCTGTTGCAAAAGACAATTTCCATGAAGCATCAATGTTTAGGTTTGTAGAATCTTCTATTAAAATGTCTTTCTGCAGCCTGAGCTGCACACATATTTTTTGTTTTTTTTAGGACAACAAAGATGCTTCACAGTGCACTGTACATCTGTCAATGTGTGATAGCTTTCTTTTAGAGCAAATAAATATCTGTTAATGAGTTTTTAATATTTTGATAGTTTCAGCCTCCCTTCTACTGGTGTATCGGGTGTTTCTTTGTTTTTTTTATGTTGCTGTGATAATTGGAGTTTTCTCTGACTGTGCACCTACCAAATCACCTGTGATGTTTACCTGTCAGCAGGTTGTTAGAGAGCTGAGTGACCATGAAGAGCTCTCCCTGTCCGCCGCTCGCCGTCTTTCTTTGCCCACGGCCCATTACACTGGAGTTGTATCAGCAACAAATGTTGTAAAGGCTGCTGTCACAGCTCAGCTTTCTGCTGCCGTTTGGCAGAACCTCTGACGGCAGTTAATGCCTCATCACTTTCAGCTGTAGCTGCGTCGATCACAGCGTGTTCTGATCATCCGTGAAGTTCAAGCTTGGTAGCATCATATCAGTCTGCAACTGCTTTTGTCGTTAGGTCATGATGGAGAATTACTGGGTTTCATAGCTGTAATGGCTGCTTAGTTATTTTAAGCCCTTATGTATTGTGCTTAAAGTTAAGTTCTGTTACAGCCTAAACTAACTAAAGACAGGTCTCAACATCTCATTGTTTCTTTTTAAGGAACAATGAGATTTTCCTTTTATCTCATGGTTTCCTTCATCTTCAACTTTATTCATTAACACTGAAAAAAAAAATTGTCTTTTTTCAGTAACAGAATCCACATCGAAGAGCGTTTTGAAGTTTGAAGCACTCAGATTAGTGGCATTCATTGACCAGAAAAAGATATGACTTTCGAGCTTCATATCAATCAATTACCAGTCAGGTAGAGATAAAGTCACTGTACATATTTTCTTAACAAAATCTAGATATTGTCCTGTTATTTTAAATTTCCTGACACTAGAAGCCTTTCGTCCTAGTTGTCAAACAGGAAATGGGCAGTGGAGGAAGTGTACGTGACTGGAGTCCTTTTGGGCTCCAAAGATACACCTTAGAGTGTCCATGGCAGGTAGGTAACCTGCATATGACAGAACTGTCCTCTCTCTAGCTTGTTTGTTGTGCTCTTTGTTCCTTTGTGAAGCTAAAACACAGACTCAATAGTAAAAAGCCTGTCTCATCTCTTGTGTCATGTCTACAGATGTGCAGATCGGTCGGAAATTTGTGGTTTTGATCTCCACTTCAAAAATGAAAAAGTACCTCTATTTTGAAGCTCCATGAAGTCCAACACACACACACACATTAAGTATTAAGATGTTTCCTGAAGAGTTATCCCATGGGAAATAGGCTTGTACACATTTTCGAGAGCTCTATGTATTAATTAATCTTGCGGGAAGAGAACAGTGCATTGTCCATTCAGGCCTGGACTGTTATTGATGTCTGTTATAGACAATGCAACACCTGTTGTCGTCCGAAGACAGAGGGGTTTGTTTGATACCTGTTCTTACCTGTTTGTCTCACTCTGTCACTGAGATCCTGTCTTTAAGGACTCAAAGTCCTTATAAAACAGATACATGGATAAGAAGAGAATTGGTTTACATTTTCCATCTGTGGCATTCTTCTATGTCATTTATTGTGCAGCGTTTTACCTCTATCTCGTTTCCCTTTATTTTGGCTTTTTGTGTCTGTTGATGACCCAAGTATTCTCTCATTAAATTGATTTAATGTCTTTAATTTTCCCCTTTAAAGTGAGAGAAAATGCAGCGATTTCTCTTCTTACACCCCCCAGCCAATCATAAGCCGTTAATTTTAAACAAATTCCCCATCAGCAAAGAGACACCTGACACCTAAGCCCCAGCCAGAGCTCAGGAGAGCCATCAATAATTGAAAGTGTACCAACAACACAAACTCGGTGTGTTGCGACACAGCCTGTTGAACACCAAGAATGGTCTAGACAGAGCAGCTGAAACCCAGCATCCAGATAAAAGCAGGTAAAAACAAACCTGGTGTACCTCACAGGTTAGGTGCAGAGGTGAGGAAGATATTACATTCCTGTTGTTTAGGCAGCATCCAGATCCACACTCCTGTAAGAGCGCAGAAAGTTGGTTGTCATTAAATAAAAACTTAAAGCAAAACTTTACCCCTAGAAAAACAACATGGTTCTCTAAACATGGCAGGGTGGTTACCTGGCTCCCCCTTGTGGATCAGCTTGGAAGCACATACACTATTTTTATTGCAGATTCTTGTGTGTAAGTATTCACCTTCTCTGTTTTATTACTTGGTTAAGCTTTAATTAAAGTCTTTCATTATTTTTTTTTCCATCCCCTTAGCACAGTTGCATACTGGGAATTTTACCCATTTCTTTTATTGGAAAACGGTTTAAACTCCACTATATGGAGGAGGTTTATAGGTCTTGCCTTAGGTCTGAACTTTAAGTTGGCCATTGACTGAATATACTTTAGCTCCTTATTAGCTCTAGTCTTATTTCTGCTATCTTCTGAAAGCCACTCTGTTCTTGATGATAATGGGGTTGTGTGTTTAAAATGATGTGTTGGGTTAATGCAGGCAGTTTTGGCCTCTGAACTAATGACATTTGCCCTTATATTTGCTGCGTCTCCTAATTTTCTCATATTGAAGTGAAAATGCATTTTTTTTGTGGCTTTTTTCAATACTGACTGTTTTCTTAACTCTGAGTCCTCCCACGTTAAAACAGCAGCTATTTTGTGGGGAAATTGTCTATTTGCCCTGCATCTCAGATTCGGTGGACGGCAAAGTTTTGGTCGGTTTACAGTTTGTGCCATACTACTTTAGCTGATCCATGAGATGTTCAAAATTTGAAATATCTTTTAACCAACTAATACTGACTTAAAAATACCAATAACTTTCTTCCTAAACTTCTGTTTACCAACAAACATCTAAGGGCTTCACAGGACAGCGAGATATATGATTTAAAAAATCTTTATAGGTGAGGCTTGTTTAGATGTATTGGTGTAATGAGAGGTGCAGAATTGCAGACTCAATGCGATGCACCATCATTCTTCATGAACACTATCTGTTGGCATTTGTGCACTTTGATGTTATGCAGGTGTGTTGATTTTCTCACATAAAACAAACCTATTAAAGGTTTGTAATGAAGTTAAACTTAGTTAAAAATAGCGAGAATGAATATTTTTGCAAAACCTTATTTTTTTGTAAAACCTCTGAATCAACCAAAAGGTTGTGTTTAAAAATCTGCTGGATAGTCACACAGGGAAAATCTCTCCTTCTCCTCTTCCTGATCAGGCGAATGGTGTGAACATCGAGGGCATGAGGCACACAGAGGTGGTGGCCTTCATAAAGAAAGGGGGGTGACGAGACATGGCTGCTGGTGGTGGATCCAGAAACAGACGAACATTTCAAAAGAAGAGGAGTGGTCCCCACGATCAGCCACGTCAAAGGTGAGGAAAGTCAAACGTATTTGAAAACTTAACATTTTCAACTTTTTTGGTATTGAAATCAGTGGCAGATTATCTAAGTATTCTCTGAAGCATTAGAATTGATAAGGGGCACTGTTCTGAAATGATTAAGATATTTTCCTCAAATCTGCAAATACTATTGGAATACCTTCCGATTTATATTTTTATTTCCCAGATTATGATGGTCCCTCCATATCAAACGGCTCCCCCAGCCCCCATATCAACGGAAGCTCCACCACACAGTCCATCAGGTCAACGCGCTCGGACCTCAGCAGCCAGGGCAACAGTACGCAGGTCAGTGTGGACGCACATTAATGTTGTTCCGGCTAAAAATCTCAACTCTTAACGCTTAGCTGCCTGTTTTTCCATTTCCTGGCCGACATTTAGCTGGCCGACGATGACGGTAGCCAGCTTATGGACCCTTTCGCTGAGATCGGCCTGAGACTCAGTGCCACAGCGGCGGAGGAAAAGATGAAGATCCATGCGAAGGAGAAGAAAAAAGCACCACAAATGGACTGGATGAAGAAATATGAGCTTTTCAGTAATTTCTAAGACTATTTTTTTGGCTTCAGAGACTTGAGAAACTAGAGGATAGTCCTCCCTACGACCTTTCATGATTTGCCCAAACAAAGTTCTTGGATTTTAATGACTTTTAACGTTGTTAAAAATCACAGTTCTCTTAACAAGGAACAGTTACAAACTCAGATGACAATAATCCCAACATATGAGGAGACATTCCTTCCCTTTCAATCAGTTTTTTTTACTATATCAACTATTTGATTAACTCTCCTCCTCTGAGCGACTGAAAAAGCAGCTATTTTCTTTTATATATATATTTTAAAAAACCATGAACAAGGATAAATAGGCAGCATTCCATGGTATAAATCCCACCAAAGACATTAATGGACACTGTGACATGAAGGACGGTGGCTTTTGTGGGAGTTTTTATTTTTCAGATCAGTCTGAGAACGCCTGAAGCAGGCAGAAAAATCACTGTGAAAAACTCTGCTCCTTCATCCCATGCAGACGATGTTTGTATTTTTACATCAATATATATCATCATTAATCATCATCATCATTAATGTACGGAAGTTAGCAGAACATGTAACACTTCAAAGACCTCCTTTATTCACCTATCACCAACAACTCCTTATCAGAAGAGCTTGAGGACATGAATACGATAAAGGGAGTGACCACTAGCTTTTAAAGTTCAGAAGCAAACATTGTGACTCTGTTTATTGACCGGATGTGATTTAATGCTTAATGTTTACAGCACTAATCCAGAGGCCTTTTTGAAGCTAATAAAATAACCATATCCTATCTGGATGTTGATCCATTTCTAACATTTTAGAGAAAAAGTTGGACTCAAAGGTTTTTGTAAGAACTTGTAGAAACAACAATTAATTGCAAGCCAAGTAGCACTCTGCAAATATTTCAGTATTAATTATTACTTTTTTCTTTTATATTAGGTTTGTGAAGCTGGTATGATGCGATGGCTACACCGATTCCTTCATTAGTACTTACCTGCAATCATTCTGAATGTCTCAAATTGTGTGAAAAAATCTCAGAATAAATTCATCATTTATTGCTTTATCAAAGAAAAGTTGAGAAGATCTATGAATTTCAATGTAGAATAATTTATTTTCTATTAATCAATATTTCACATCAAAGAGGTTCATTTCTACGCAGCAAAAAAGAAAAAATATCTTTACTTTAGTGTTTGAGAAAGCAGGAAAGATCTTTGAGGTCACCTTTTATCCACGATGACCACTAAGAAAAGGCGGTTTAGGATGCTGGCAAAAATCTTATTTACAAGGTAAACAGTTGGCATTTGCTGAAATGACCATTACAGAAACTGTTCTTTGTTCAGGGAGGAGAAGAGATGTCAGAAACGCAACACAACTCTGGAGGTTCTGGATATTTTTAGAAGATGAATGGTTAGAAATCCCCCATCCAATGTAGTTTCCTGCTCCATAAAGCAGAATACCACTTGGTGGTGTCCAGATGGCAAAATGGTAATAACAATATGGGCTGTAACAAGTTTACCACTAGCGGCCTACAAATGATATTTGATTTTTCTAAATATTTCAGTGATTTTTTAATTGTTGCTACTGCAATAAAAGAGGAATATACTTAGAGGTTTATTAATTCATGTTTTCTAGCATTCATATCAGATTTAAAGTCTAACTGCAGTAAATTATAATCTTAAATAGAGATGCATCCATCACGTTTTAACTGGTCCAGATGAATTTCTGGTCTTCTTTGTGTTCCAACCTGCTGATTTTTATAAATTAAGGAAATCACCACGATTGGTCCCTATGTGCACTTAGAAACAAATGTCCTTTATCTATCATTTACTAGAAGTGCATGAAATAATATGCTGTTATGAGATGTATTTACAGACTGAAAAGATACACAGTTTCAGATTAGCAGAAGAAAAAAAAATGTAAATTTGGAGTAAATTGGCAGCTGATTGATTTGTGCAAGAGGAGCCTTTTGAAATAAGTTACAGCTTATCACATAATATTTAAAGCCCATAACTCTTTACCAAAGTGGTGAATGAAGCTTCATTTCAGTGAACAATACAGGGGACAAATGGATAAAGTATAACAGAAACTGACTGTTTAGCATTAGCTTAGCTACAACACTACAGGTTTCTGGACAGGTCGTTGGATGGAGTCTGGAGAAGCTCATGGCAAAGTGGGAGATCTTTCAGGAAAGACCCAGGGAGCCACACAGATTACAGAGGATTACTTTGCATATAGGAACAGCTGTCATTCACATGCTTGAATGTGGAGAAGGTAAACATGAAATGCATTAGGCTAATTGGAGTTAGCTCTATATTCATTCAAAGTCTGCAAAGGAATCTGTGTTACAGATTGGTGTCAGATGGTATTTTTCAATAAAGTTTGACAGAGGCTTCTTTTAAATTTACCAACAGGTTGCATCCTATTTTTCAGGGATTTTTTTTTTTCTGCACGATTTGGGATTTTCCATCCTTCATTTCTCATCTCTACTGTTTTGGGGTTTTTTTTTGTTCTTTTTGTTCCACTGCCCCTCGTTTGCTCCCATTTCCTCTCAGCCCCCCTTTATGTCTCCCTCTCAGTGAGGATTATGTTGGCGTACAGTTTCAGGTTCGGTCTGTTCTCACAATTCTTCCACCAGCCAGCTGCTGTGAGGACACACGGGGGTTAAATCGGGGTCAGAAGTGGGCTTGTGACCATGTGATAGAGCTTGCAGAGGTTTCTGTGTGTCTTTATTGTGTGCAATGAGAAAGCTGTACTCTTTGCCAACTCTGAATCTGCATAGAAAATGTTTTTTATAGGGATTTTTAATAGGAATCACCTCACGGTCAAAATTGTACCTAAAGTTTTAAAAGATCTTCTGATAGATAAAAAAATATATATTCTCTTTAGAGGTCTCTGTTATTGGCTCATTTTTTTATTAAACAAGTTATTACAGAGGGGGGGGGGGGGGGGTGGGGGGGGAATTACTTACTAAATCAATTAAGGACTTCCAAGCAGACACCTCTCTGCTACTTTAACACTTTTCTGAAGTTATCGACATTTGATACTTTTTTTTACCAAGACCAAAGAATCGAGTAACAGAATAGAAGAAAAGAATCAAAGCTCTTTGAAAATGTGCTATTCCTGGTAAAGACACAATGAGCAAACCCCTACTTTTATTGCTACTTAAAATGACTAAAACCATGTACATGTATACCATATGAGGCAATAATGATCATAGCATGATCACGCAGCATTCCGTAAAGCTGTGTCTGCCCTGTTTAAACCAGATAAATTAAGGTTAGTTTGTCCCTCTCCTGTTCCTGGAAGTTAGAGTGAACAGAAAAAGCACTGCCTGAGGCCTTGAGAAGGAAGATAGCCACTCAGATTCTGGTAAGAAATAAGAGCGTTGGAAATCAGTCAGTACACTGTGGTGAAAACAGTCAACAAGTAGAGGACACCACAAAACAACTACAAATATGCCAAAGTCTGGTTGTTCATGCATGTTCACTCTATAAGAAGACTGCAATATGCTAAACTAAGTTTTCCAGAACCCTTTAATGTCATCTTGTGAACAAAGTCCTCTTTTCTGCTGACATTAACAATTGCATAACTGGACTGCAAAAATTACTAAGATTTATGTGAAAGGGGGAAATGTTTGGTCTCTATGAGAAACAGAACGGGTAAAGTTTGCTAGAGATAAGATAGGCAAACACCAGAATTTCTTGACTATATTCTGAGTTTGAAACTGAATTATGTTGATACCAGAACAAAGGAGCAGTTTGGCAGTGACCAAATAAAACATTCCGGAAAGACAAGCTAAGACCAACTGTGAAGGATAAAGGCACGGAGAGTTTGGAGAGTGCAGAAGCAGGACTTAGCTTTTCATCTCACAGGATGTTTGAGTAAAACATGAAATCCTGAAATAAAATCGAGTTAAACAAAACTACATCTTGCAACATTCTGCCATAAAACATATAACCCAATCCGCCAAAGTCTAGCGACAGGAGATCCTTCCTGCCTGCTGCCTTTCAGTATAAAAAATAACTCATTGAAATAATATATATATATTAGTTTAAATACCATCTATTTTATTTTGAGGAATCTAATTGAATGCAATCATAAACCGAGAAAGGAAAATCCTGGATCCAGATCTTAATCTAATTTGGATGCTGTGAGTTGACTGGAAACAGGCAGCGTATGCAAGAAATCACACAGGTGGAATAAACCCTATTCAGACTTTTAAATGCTGATATATGGCTTTTTCTACAAGAGCAGTGATTTAGTTTCAGCCATGATGAGTAATACTAGCAATTAGTTGCAGGTAAATGTTTTCCAACTTTCTTCTCTCATAGGAAACACATTTATACTACATGATTATTTATGAGTCAGAGGTTTTATACGTAAACATCAGTTTCGATTTTAAGAGGAATTTATTTTTGGAGCATTTAAACTTCATTCACTGAGGTCCAGAATAATTTACTCTGAAATGTTCACATCCACATCACCCTACAGGACCTTCCTGTTAGCTGATACCAAGATTAGCAGTTTAGACATAAAAAGTGAGGAAAGCCTTACAAAGGTTTGAGTATCCTTCTGTAATAGACCTTAGGGCTTATGGGGTAAATTAAATAATGCCAAGAAATGTATTTAAATTAGCTATTTTTATTTTTACCCCATGTTGCTGTATTCAAATATTTAAGTTGTCGGAAGTTCAAAAATTACATTATTATTGTGCTGTTCAAGTTAAATAACAGCTTAACTAAAAAAGACATAAAAATCATTAAACAATTGAAAATAACAGAAGCCAACCTATAAAAAATGGATTTTAAATAGATCTAAAAGAGCATTTTTTCATTGAAAAATTTTTTCGAAATTAATTTTGTATGTGAAATCCCTAGACTGTTGTCCAAAATCAACTTCAGCATAGTAAGTCTTTGTATCATCAGGAAAAAGTACATTTTTATTCTATAATATATATTTTTAATAAACTGCTTAAAAAACTTCTGAAAAAAGGGCCCAAACTCAAACAGACAGAACGTCATATGCAAGGTCAAACCATTCAGATAAAAAAAGTACATCCCAATTTCACAGACGGCTCTGTCTCACTTTAATCCAATGTTATTTACTCATAAGTCATAATTAATTGCGTCATGAGCTTTCTTGATGTCAACACACAAATAGCAATTTTCCTTTTATCAATCTTGGTTATTCCCTCTACTAGAGTTTGATTGCTCAGTTGATGTGTTTCTAAGAATAATTCTAGTCTTTTTTTTTTTAAAGTTTATCAAATATTTTACAAAATATTTGATAAACTGTGGCATAATAGAGACTTGTCCATAGTTAAGTCTGTAGGAAGTCCTTACACCGGCTGTATTTGCTCTGTCTTGGCTATATTTTCTCTACATACAAATGTGTAGTGTGTTAAATATGTAAAATAGGTTCAGATTTATAAAATATATCATTTTAAGCTTTTTCTGCAGTGTCATGTTAATTCCATGTTAGTAGATGTTTTATTCTAACATGTTTCTGTTCCTGTCACAGAGAAAAATTTTGCTAGGATTTAACTTATTGTTTTATTTAAATATTGATTGTTGTTTGTTTTGGCCATAAATTTAGATTTCATAAAATTATAAAAGTTGTATGCATTCTCAGTTTTATAATAACCTTCAGTATTTTTTCAACAAAATAAATGTTTGTGGCTTAATTGCACAATAAAGCTTGCTCTTGAAATTAAAAAGCCTTAAAAAACTTAAAAATAAAAAATTGTAAAGTACTGCAAATTATCACAGACCAGGTTCCTTGAAAGTAAAAAAATGCAAATATAAAAAAAATATATTCAAGTTTTATTAAAGTTTTATGCCAATAGATCTTTGGAGGGGAAAGTGCTGCTATATGGATATTTATAAAGCTCTTATCTTAATTGTGCCTATTATCAGTAGTTCAGGCAGTGTAAACATATCTATTATCGTTTGGTATCTAATTTCATACAATAACCCACATCAATAAAAAAAAAAAAAATGCTAATAAACTACTGTTAGTCCACCAGGAGGCACACCATCAGCGTTTCAAATCCAGGAAGTGGGACAAACCTTTCTAGCATGAGGCTGTGGTTACATACAGGGCCCTACCTGAACTTGCTCAAAATGCAACTCCACACGTGGCCACATTATCAACCTCCCTGGAGGTTATGGCAAGGCCGAGCTGTGACGCCAGCACATCAAAGGACAGCGCCAGTTCAAAGCAGTCTGCAATTTCAGAGCAGTAAAAGCAAGAGAACAGAAGCAGAGAATAGAGCCACAGGTGGGCGCATTCTGTTTAGCCTGCCTCAGCCGTCGCACGCATTTTTTACTTCCTACTGATGATAGATGATTGCTCGCCTTAAACCCCAGGTTCTCCATCTTCTTGCAGGCTTCCAAACTTTCATTTATATGTACTACTTGTTAAGGGTTATAACTTGTCCTTTCCTGACTTATTGTGATTGTGTTTTGTGATTTCTTAGTCATCCTTTGATCCTGTATAGTATCCCAAACACACACCTCAGCACCTTAATCCTGCTGAAGAGTGGCATTTGTTTACCAGTGCCAGGGCTGCCTGGGATGCCTGCAAGGATAGAGGGAGGGGGGGAGA